ACTCAAGAGGTGTGGTTCAGGTTGCAGGGTACTGGCTTCCTATCGGTGAGGAGAACCCTGTTGGTGATGAGAAATATATTCTTACTCCAAGTGTGAAGAGAAATCTTCATAATCTGTCTAGGGTGGTATCAGCAAGGTATGTTTGGTTTGTCTCTTGTCTTTTCAAAGTTTACTGGAGGTTATTCTGCACAGAAAGTACCCAGTGCTGTTGCAGGGCCCAACATCAGCTGGGAAGACAGAGCAGTCTTGTGAAGTACTTGGCAAAAGCCACAGGGCACCACTGCTTACGTATCAACAACCACGAGCACACTGACCTCCAGGAATACATTGGGATGTACTGTGCAGATGAGAACGGAGAACTTGTGTTTCAAGAAGGTAAGCTCACTACCTTGTTCATTTGCGACTGAATTACACACAATTTAGCGTGTGTAGATAAAATTTACTTTCCTAACCAGTGAACATAATACCCCAACCTTTTTCTTTCCTTTTTGTGACACACACATGCGTTTTAGCCTCAAAGGTTACGTGGATGATTGTGTTTTACTGTAGGTGTTCTTGTGGAGGCCATGAGGAAGGGGTATTGGATCATTCTTGATGAACTCAACCTTGCTCCCACCGATGTCTTGGAGGCACTCAACAGAGTATGATGTTTTTCCTGGGCTATGATCCTGGGAGACATGTTTTCTGTGTAGGTTCTTGATGATAATCGCGAGTTGTTTATTCCTGAGACAAGGAAGTCGGTAAAGGCACACCCTCATTTCATGTTGTTTGGCACTCAGAATCCTCCTGGAGCATATGGTGGGAGAAAGGTAAAATGATGTGCACTTGCTTATGCTACTTACAGTATTATCTGTGCAATATCGCAACACATTGGCCTGAATGTGTTGTGGTATGTGAAGTGCAGTGGAAAGATTAGTGAGATTATATTTGTGAAGGAGGGCTTTCTGTGGTGGACATAGACATTGATTACTGTTTTAAAGATTAATTTTTTTACTTTATAGTTTCCCATTCTTGTTTATTATCACGCTGTAGGTTCTCTCCAGAGCGTTTAGGAACAGGTTTATTGAGCTGCACTATGATGACATTCCCTCTGGTGAGCTGGTGAACATAGTACACGAGAAGTCTTCCCTGCCGTTATCATACGCAAAGAAGATGGTAGCCATCATGAAAGAGTTGCAGGTAGGCTTAATAATGGTTGAATTATTCAAGTGAGGCCAACTGTAGAGGTGCACACACATGTCACTTAATTGCACTGGTAACTCAGTACTTTCTTTTTTCCTGAATAAAGGGGGGGGGGTCTGAGCAATAGGCTGTGCACTCTGAAATATTAGTGAGGTGTTGGGTGGTATAAGTTAGCGGCATTGCCGAAGCTTTTTAACCAGGAATGGAATTTTAAGCCACGGAGAGGCAGGCAGAGGAAGGGTTGGAGTAAGGTCATTGATGATCTTTTAGTCATTAGGTCTTGACAAGGCAGAGTGGTTGCATGATATTCAAAATGGGGATTGCCCCTTGAAGGGCTTTCTGTCTATAGTAGGGGACAGTATTAATGAGAGGAATATTAAATGTTTGAAGAGGGGCTAAATAGCAAAGTAAAGCTGTTATTATATAAGACATTGAACAAGGTGGAAATGTACTTGCATGGGGAAAGTGATGCTGGGTCTAGATTAATGTTTAATTTCAGGTCAGGCCCGCATGGGCTAAATGAGGAACTGGGTAGGCATAGGAGGAGGGAGGGTATGAAGGAGTGCCTGTTGTGATGAGTGTGAAAGTGTGAGCCATGTGTTGTGGGAGTGTCCAGCATATAGTAGTCTTAGGAGCAATGTCTTAGTTGCCCTCCAGGGGAAGCTTGGGGAAGGTGGGTTTGAGCATTTCCAGTCGCTTAATAGTTGCAAGAAAGCATCCTTTATTTGGGTAGTGAGCTGTGGGAGGATAAATTAGTTTCTTTGCTTGGCCTCTGGATGTTTGGGAGCTAAGAAAGGTTAGCTTATACGGCGACAATCCCAGCGTACAACAGACCCAGTCTCAGATTGCGTCTGGGGAGCTGCAGGGTGTCGCTGGTGGAAGGGGTGAGTTGAGGTGTCTGGGAGGTGAGGCAGACACCTCATGTTCATATGGTGTATGTTCGTTTATTAACGGTTCCGCCCATTGCTCTGGGTGCGTGGTCTATTGCTATGGCAGCCACCTGAGTATATAACATCATTATTGCTTGTAGCCACTATGTTACGCCCCACTAAGTAAGTAGTGGTTGTGCCACAATGCGCGTGCAATGACACAGCTAAACCTACGCCAAGTGCATAGACAAACGCCAATTTTACACGTAGAGCAATGTTATTCCATTGTCACCCTCTGTTTAAGAGGTCAACTTTAAACAGTCACGGCGATCGCGGGAGGAGTGTGCAGCCAGTCTTTTACTGCTTAAGGATGTTGCCGAGGATGGAAATGTTTACCTGTGAAGAAAGCTGCTACGAGAGAAAGGCTAGAGGTTTTAGTAAGCTTTATGAGAGTGTTTTTTCACACATTTCCGCATACCGCGTCTGTAAACTAACGGGAGATCCAGACAGTTGTTTTTCTATATACCTCATGTTTCTCCACTCGCGAGCCAGTGCTGAAGCTCAAACTTGGTAGGTGTGTTCTATGATGCCTATAGAGCCCAATAAGTATAAAAGCAAATTACCACGAAATACGTTTCAGCGATTTATGGTCCCTTTTCGTGTACACGGTCACAAGTTACTGACCTCCAACCTCCTTCACCATACAGCATACACGTAAAGTTACTTCTCGGTCTCTCTTGGTGGAGCACACTGCCAAATAACTTTTCTTGAGGAGCTGCATACCAAACTAAACATTTGTGTTCTACTTACCCATCAATGCAATTGAAAGCCATAATTAGACAATGTGGTCTATATTCAAAGCATAATTTTGGAATCTCTGCTATACACATGCCAATTTGTTCGACCTACACATCTTTGTTAGGTTTTAGTACTGTGTACCTGAATTTTATGGGCATAGAGTTTAGAACACCAAACTTTACGTGGGGGGGCTTTGTTGTTTTTTCCCTCCTTATCCACAATATATTTTCTTGGTTTAGTTTGTACAGTAGCCCCGCATGTCTTCCCTACCGACCCTGCCTCTGGTAAAAAGTTCCGTTGGCAATGGCAATATTTGTTTGATGACAGGTGAGACGAACAGCATCAGGTGTATTTTCTGGCAAGTATGGACTCATCACACTGAGAGATCTATTCCGTTGGGCCGAGCGCTATCGTCGCTCACCATCTTCCTCTTCTCAGTTCAGAGATTGGGAACAGCAACTTGCAGAAGATGGTATGGATAAATTTTTGAACAGTGATTCAGAGGGCTTTTGATATGTTCCTTTTTCAGGTTTCATGTTGCTAGCTGGTCGTCTAAGAGAAGTTAATGATGAGCAGGTAGTGCTGGATGTTATCGAGCGACATTTCAAACGAAACGTTGAGCCAATCCAGTTGTATGGGCAAGATGGTGGGCAGGGGAGTCTGGCTTCTCAGAAGTGCCTGCAGTTGCTCCGCGCTCCTTTAACGGAGGAGTTCAGGCACTTGGTGTGGACATCAGAGTTTCTCAGAATGGCTGTGTTGACTTTTAGAGCCCTCAGCTTTGATGAGCCGGTGCTCTTAGTTGGACATACTGGGTAAGCAATTGTATGGTGCTCTGAGCTAAGGTAATCACCCCTTACACTTTCTGAGGTGTTATTAACTCATTTTCATTAGAGGTATTGCCACACTGCCATTATGAACGTAGTTTTGTTAGGGATCATTGCATGCCAAATTGTGTTCATTTATCTAGCTCCTGGGGCAACCCTCAACGCACTACAAACCAATGCGGAGGTTATACACATTGACATGCCCAAACACGTCTACATTGGTATGGTTAATTGATAGGCTTGGCTATACTGGCGATTTTACTCGTGGTCTTTCACTACCTTGCTGATACTCTTTTTTGTTTTCACTCCATAGTGTTAGAACGGAGTATGTTTCAGGAAAATCTCTTTTAGCTGGTGCATTGTACCTGAAAATGTTGCGTTTGGACCAGCTTGTTTTGCAGAAATGTACTAACGGACAAACGGCCACATGGACAGAGAGCCTGGTCTATCCACTACTTTTATTCTTATGCTGTTGGCAGATAGGATTAGTTCTCTACCAGAGACAACACCTCCACTACCAAGCGTGGATATGCAAAACACAAGCACTTACTGCCCATGTCAACATGATTAACCTTCGGCACGCATGCGCAGCGAGGGTTAAGGTAGTTGGGTCTGTGTGTCTGTTACTCTCAATCTCACTTCTTGAGTGTTCGTTCGTCTCAAAAAGGATACCACCTACTGAACGGGCAATGAAGGTCAGAAATTTCACAAACAGTTTTCTCTGAAAACGCTCCGTTGCAAAGCTAGAGCGCGAAAAAGCCAATATGCTAATATACTACGGCATGATAGACCCGCGTGCTCTGCGTACCTCGGAGGCACCAGAAGATGTAACGCAGGGCATGTATCGCCTCTCGCATGCTATCTAGTAGTGTAGTTAGCCTGCGTCAGATTCTGCGCGAGCTGGCAAGAGACCACGAGTAACAGCTAAAACTAAACCCAGCCCATCAATTAGTGGTACGGCATATGCGTTTACTTACGCGTGCGCGTCACAGTGCGCCGAGGGTTTGCACTTCAGTGCTTTTTATTATATTCTGAAACAGGAAGTCTCTTCGGCATTGATCGTTGTTTGCCTGATTCTCTTCTTCGACATGGCACACTCGTTTTTTAGAAGCTAGCAACATTTGCATGTGCAGGCTGTCCATCTCTACAAGCACGACCTGTTTCATGTAGATCGCCAGGTTGACCAATGTGAACAATCACGTCTCTGTGCCAATGCATAAGACTACAGTGGTAATGACAACCGTATTTGACTATGTATTGGTTAAATCACTGGAACGAGTCACTATGAGGTTTGAATAACCCATGGGAGGAGGGGTAAGAATGATGCAATAGTGACCGAGGCGGAGCTGAGGTAACCTATTGCGTCATTCTCATCGTGATCCACGAGGGTTTTCAAACCGAGGAGACGAGTTAGAACCGCGGCATGGAGAGCGCAGTTTCGCCTAGTCTTTTCGATAGTGTGCAAGACCCGTTACCCAGTTGGCTCTGCCCGTCACAATTTAGGCCGGGAATCGGCGAAGGGTGGGAAGGCCCATTTGCTCCTAGCTTCGAGACTACCGCCGAGCAGGACGAGTTCATCATCCAAGCATCGCAGCAGCTGGACGGATATATCCTCCAAGCCCCGCCGGAGCAAGACATTGCCACTGGAGCACTCAGCCCTCGTCACTTGGACGCTTGGCTTGGCTATGCGAACAGTGATAACTAGGAGGCAGGCGATTATGCGGAGGATGCAGAGGTAATGGAGATGGAGTTGGGGGCTGAAAATGATGTAGCTAGGAGTCAGATACAAGAGTACACTCCCCGTAGGAGATGGATCGCCTCTCCATTTCTTTCAGATGTTGGTAACTGACGACATGCTCGACAACATCGTCCAACAGACCAACCTCTATGCGTCACAGTACGCTGACACCCACACCATCACTCCGCGTTCATGTGTGCAGCAATGGTCACGGCAGGTGTTCGAGAGAGATGAGCTCAAAAAGTTCCTGGCTCTTGTCATGATAATGGGTCTTGTAAACCTGCCCACCATGGAAGATCACTGGGTCACAACTTGGCCGTACTCTAGCCAAACATGCTCGAAGGTATGCCTTCAAAACTGTAATGGTCACAGATCCAATACATAAAATGCAACACATATAAATTTACTTGTAGATCATGAAGCGTGACCGCTTCAGTCTTGTCATGAAGTTCCTCCATCTGGCTGACAACGAGCACTACATCCCCAGAGGTCAGCCAGGCCACGGCAAGCTATACAAGCTGTGGCCGTTCCTTGAGCCTCTCATCGCCAACTTCCAGCGGTGCTACACACTTCAGCGAGAGCTGTCTGTGGATGATGCAATGATTGGTTTCAAAGGGAGACTGGTATTTATTCAGTACCTCCCTAAAAACCCACGAAGTGGGGCATGAAACCCTATGTGTTGGCAGACAGCTCCACAGGCTATGTCTGGGCCTGGATGCTTTACACAGGTATATTGTGTTAGCTTGGAATGTAATTTGCCATAACATAATATAAATAATATCATAATGTAGGAAAAGACAACTCACTTGATGTCACTGGGAGGAACCACACACACGCTGTGGTTATGGCACTAGTTGAGAAGCTGCAGGGAAGAGGGCATCACGTCTACACGGACAACTTTTATTCGAGTCCGGCCCTCTTCGCAGAACTGAGGGAGAAGGGATTTGGAGCATGTGGGACTGTGCGGGTGAATCGACGAGGTTTGCCACAAGAATTGAAGAAGAATCTGGCAAAGGGGGATGTCTGTTCGGGGCCATGGACGAAAGCATGGTGGCACTCAAATGGGCCGACAAACACCAAGTTTCGATGTTGTCCACCGTGCACGACGACTCAATGATGACAAAGACACGGAGAACACGACATGTGCAGGGTGGACGCGAGGAGGTGAGGAAACCCGTCATGACCCGACAATCAACATATGGGGTCAGTCGATAAAAGCGATCAACTCCTCTCATATTACGGGTTTGCACACAGAACCGTAAAGTGGTGGCGGCGTGCGTATTTTCACCTCCTGGACCTGGCGATTGTGAATGCGTACATCATACACGAGGCACCACACAGGTCGTCAGTTGACCCACGAGCAGTTCCGTATTGAACTGGCGAAAGAGATGCTCACATCTGTGGCAGTAAACATCACGGAGGATGCACCGCCAACAACTGGACCAGCTCCCCATCCCCTCCCTCCATTAGCCTGTCTCACTGAGCGTCACTTCCCTGGGCGACTCCCTCGCCAGACCAACTGCATTGTGTGCAGCAAGAAAAAGGGTAGGAAGACAACTACATTCTGTTTTAAACAGTGCAACTTACCCATGTACGTCGTTCCTTGTTTTGAACTTTACCACTCAAAGATTGATCCACAAAGATATCTTTGAACATATGTAGTCATCTACAACTTCCTTTTACCTATAATTATAACTCTCTCTTTACTAACTCTCTCTTTCATTTATCGTACCTTTTCTCCGTGAATAAACACGGTTCGTCACAAGTAAGCCAGCGCGCGCTGCATACGCAAATTATAGCGCATATACACTTATGAAATAGCCAGTAAACCTAGGAACTGCATCTGATGCCTCTGGTGTCCTTCTTCTCGCCTTTCTCGTCCAAGAGAGCAGCAGAAAACGCCCCATGCACGAGTATTATCAGCTGATGTCACGAGACCACGCACACAAGTTACGCGCATTGCGCGTGCGGGTAGATTGCGTATTTCAATAATGTGTTAAGAGGGTTTAATGAGAGGTTCTAATCCTAGTGAGAGCATTGATTATGCCATCTGGTCTGGTGCTGGTCAGTGACGCCAGTGAACACATCCGCCAAACTGAACCTGGTGATATTCGGTGGTTCTAATTCTGCTCTGTATATATCACAACACACACCAAAGGTTTTTCCATATATTAATCATTCTGGGCATATTAGCTCTTTCTGATATTTCCGCTAGTTTAAAAGCAGAAGGAACAGCTTCAAATTTGCTGCATCACGTTCTTCTTGGAGGGAGATCTTGCAGAAATAGGGTCACCATTACTAATAGCAGAGTATTGAAGGGTATTTGTAGCTGTGGCCATAATAGCCATTACCAAACCCAGGTTGTGTCGTACACACTTCCCCAATGCGGTCCAGTACAGCCCCTGTGAGACATAAGACGTGCAACACAACAGCACATGCACACAGTATGGAATCAGCAGTGCATCAAATATTGCTGACCACTTGTTAAAACAGTGGCCCTCGTCAATGACAAATCCTTTCAGACGAGCACTGTAAATTTCAATGGTAAACATTTCACCCTCTTCTTTTGATGATAAGTATAGTGGTGTTAGGCGGTATTTTTGTCTGTGCACTCCCTGCTTCATTTCTTTCTTGTCTTGTAACGAATGCTGTGAAGAGTCCTTGTAAATTCCCGCCTAATGGGTTTACACTGTGAGCTAGTGTTAATACTCAGACATTTTAGCAGTCACCTAATCTGTCATGATCACTGTCAGGGGACTAACTAGCACAATGGTGGATCTGCATGACCCTTATCAAACAAACAGAGACTCTACACCCAGTTAGAAGCACATCAAACACATCGCATCCCTCACAAATGTCTTCACCTGCTCAGGTTTTAGGTTTGGATAACCCAGATGCTAATGAGCTCCTTGGCAATCTTATTAGAGCTGAAAGCAGCAGTACTAATCCTATGATAAGCTTGAAACCAGACCCTTGTGCAGTTCACTTGTGGGTGTTGCTCTGGCAGACTACTATAGGGCAGGGAGACTGTACACGTGCCCTGGCTAGTTGTGTGTGCACCCGATTCATCACACACACTTAGCTTAGATAGGTCAGCTGATCTAGAGGGGCGTGTCAATACTGGGTAGCATTGCTTTTTTCAAGCTTCGTTCAATCACAGAGAGTCGTTTCTTGACCCATGATGATAATTTATGTATGACAATACTTCCTGTACATTCCATGTGAACTTCGTCCTCAATGACTGCAGCTC